GTCACGCTAGCCAATACTGTAAATACCGAATTACAGAAAATATCTACCTGGATGAGTACTAACAAACTTACACTAAACATTGACAAAACCTACTTCATTCAGTTTGGTAACAGAGCTACAGATGTCCCTCTTAACATAATGATAAACGGATCACCTATCACAAAGCTAACAGAGGGAAAATTCTTAGGAATCCACCTTGATAATAGACTCAAATTTCATACACATATACAACAAATTTCTAAGAAAATTTCCAAGACTGTAGGCATACTATCGAAGATACGGTACTATGCTCCACAGTCAGCCCTCCTGGCCCTATATCACTCTCTTATTTACCCCTATCTCACCTATGGAATTTGTGCATGGGGCTCAACAACAAGTAACCATCTCAGACCACTAATTACCCAACAAAAGGCTGCAGTTAGAATGATAACAAATTCTCACTACAGGCAGCACACTCCACCAATATTCAATACACTCAACCTACTCACCATACAAAACATCCATACTTATTACTGCACCTATTACATACATAGAACACTCAACTCTGATATTAACCCTCCCCTCAAACATCTCCTTGCCAACCTCAACAGAACACATGACCATAACACAAGGCACAGATCACTCTTTGATATTCCTCGTGTCCATCTCACGCTATGCAAAAACTCAATGCACATAAAAGGCCCTAAAATCTGGAATTCATTACCTGTTAATATAAAAGAAACACTACCTGTTTATAAATTCAAGTCTCTTCTCAAAGATCACTTACTCACCCAAAACCAAATAAATACTGAATAACTGAACCTTATAAATTGTATATCTTAAATGTTTCTCACAATTACATCACATAAATGTTAAACCTAAAACCCAATCTAACTTTATTATTTTTTAAATTCACTACCTAACAGAATACTCCATTCTACTGAATTTACAACAATGCATGCAACCATATGACCTGTCTTTGTAATACTCACTTGTGCTTTATAGTAATCAGTTTACATTAATGTTTTTCACTGATTTCATCATTGCTTAGTTAATCTTAAGTTAATTTTAAGCCAGCCCGTAATGCTATGCATAGTATAAGTGGCTTTGGCATGCTGCTCTTATCTGTATTTTTTTTTTGTACCTCTGTAAGTGTGCTCAAATTATAAATAAATAAATAAATAAATAAATAAGAAATCCATATCTTTTCAGCCATAAATGCCTTCTCAGACCTCTATGTTTTCTAAGCCCTCTGCCTCTACTCAGCCATCTACATTATTTCACTAGTAGAGTTTTATGGCTCCTCTAATGCAAAATAAAAGTTAGTCTGTGTTGCCATTATCAATCATGACACTTTTCACCTCATCTCTCCACCATGAAAGGTAAGTAAAATTATACTGTGAATTACACAGAGTACATGTATGTACTATAAAATAACTATACAGTACAGTACTGTACTGTAGTACTACACATTACAATACTTGTATTCTTAGTGTACAGGTGTCTTCTTCATCAGCAGACCAAGTCCATTACTTCAGAAGACAACTGGACAATCATGAAATATTCATTTCATAATTAAGAAGTTGTGGACAACTGGCTTTATCATATACCCCATCGCCACTTAATCCATTAACGAGAGGTTTTACTGCATTGTTAAAAAGTGCCTATTAAATCTTACATTAATGTTGTTTAAATAATGTATTATACTCAGCAAATCATTAATTTTTTTGCTTTAAATATAGTCTCAGTTTGTATAATCATCCTTGTTAGTAGTAAGTCCTAACTGCTTTTCATTTCAATAATTACAACAGCTATATTATCTTTTTACCTCTTACTAGTACACTTAAATTCTGCATTCGTCTTATGAATGCAAATATTGATCCAGATACTAATCTCTTGTTAATTGGTAATAAAAATCCTGAAAATAATTGTCAATATTACACTGCAAGTCAGGCTATAACTGTACTCAGTGCCACCAACTATAATGTTAGATCACCGTGATGACCTCTTAGCATTGCTTAATTCACTAAATGTTAACATGTCTATCATTATTCTTAATGAAACCTGGCTCAAGCATGACTATACAGATATCTTTGCCTTACCTAGTTACACAGCTATACATAACTGTAGGCCTGATCAATTGGGAGGTGGCACTGCTATCGATTGCTTTGATGAATTAGAATGTATTAAATCTACTTGCACCGGGGACAAAAATAATGAATATATATTTGCCAAATTCTCATCTAAAAACCTTAAAACCCCATCACAGTTGGAGTAGTCTACAGGTTACCTCACACAAATTCTTACACCATTTAGTGATAACCTAAAAAACATTACAACTGACTCAAGAAAAGAATAAACACCACCTGATACTTGCTGGTAACTTCAACATAAACCTCATCCAAGCAGCTGACCCTCAAGTAGCTGACTTCATAAACACTATGATAAGATAAAAGATAATATTTTCTTTGGATTTTTAACCCTGGAGGGTTAACCACCCAGGATAACCCAAGAAAGTCAGTGCATCATTGAGGACTGTCTAACTTATTTCCATTGGGATCCTCAATCCTGTCCCTCAGGATGCGACCCACACCAGTCGACTAACACCCAGGTACCCATTTGCTGCTAGGTGAACAAGACAACAGGTGTAAGGAAACACGTCAAAATGTTTCCACCCCACCGGGAAATGAGCCCGGGCCCTCTGTGTGGGGCCACCAGGCCACAGGGGCACCTACAAACAACTGTTTGCTACTACCAGCTACAACCTGGTGTTTACCTGGAGAGACTTCTGGGGGTCAACGTCCCCACAGCCCGGTCTGTGACCAGGCCTCATGGTGGATCAGGGCCTGATCAACCAGGCTGTTACTGCTGGCTGCACGCATTTCAACGTACGAACCACAGCCCGGCTGGTCAGGTACCGACATTAGGTGCTTGTCCAGTGCCTGCTTGAAGACAGCCAGGGGTCTATTGGTAATCCCCCTTATGTATGCTGGGAGGCAGTTGAACAGTCTTGGGCCCCTGACACTTATTGTGTTGTCTCTTAACATCCTAGTGACACCCCTGCTTTTCATTGGAGGGATGTTGCATCGTCTACCGAGTCTTTTGCTTTCGTAGGGAGTGATTTTCATGTGCAAGTTTGGTACTAGTCCCTCTAGGATTTTCCAGGTGTATATAATCATGTATCTCTCCCACCTGTGTTCCAGGGAGTACAGGTTCAGGAACTTCAAGCGCTCCCAGTAATTGAGGTGTTTTATCTCAGTTATGCGTGCCATGAAGGTTCTCCGTACATTTTCTAGGTCAGCAATTTCACCTGTGCTGACCTGTGCTGTGGCTTACATCCCTGTTTATATCAGATATAAGGATAAGGAACAAGATGGGAGTGAATACTGTGCCTTGTAGAACAGAGCTTTTCACCGTAGCCAAGAAGAATCTGTATCTCACAAATGTATAACCTGTGACCCTATCAAACTATGTTTTTTTTTAATTACATTACCTAATCAAATACTCCATTCTCCTGAATACACAGTAACTCATCTAATGACCATATGACCTGTTTCTGAACTACAAATCATTGATTTTATCTGATGTGATTGGATTATATTATACATTGTTATGCTACAAATTTGTACAACTTTAATGCTTCTTATTTGAAATATTCATTTGTACTTCATGTTGTAATTTGTTAATGTAATTTTTATCATTGCTTAGTTAATCTTAAGTTAATTTTAAGACTGCCCATAATGCTCTGCATACAAGGAGCTTTTGGCATGTACACCCAATCACTATATTTCTTTGTACAACTATGTATCATGTCTAAATAAAAAATAAATAAATAAGACAAGTGCATCATTACTTGACCATATCTGGACCAATACTATATCCCCACTTATAGCAGGGATTATCACAGACAACATCACAGATCACTACTCCACCTTCCTCATAACCAACTTATGAAAATTGCCTCAAGACACTAGTAAGATCTCATTTCTTCTTCATAACCAGTCATCAGTAAATAATTCAATTTAAGATTAAGTGACATTGACTGGCACAGTCAATCCATTTAATCCAAAACCTCTATAACAGGCATTGTCCAACTAAGCAGATCTTAGCAAAGAGACTAAACTGCCTAAAGCTTACAAACAGTATCCTCAAATCCATTGACAAAAAACATCAATATGAAAAACAGTTCAGACTGGGTTTAATAACAAAAGAACAGTTAAAACAATATATGCCAATACTTACTAATTTAATACAGAAGTCTAAATAACTGTATTATGCAAGCAGACTTAACAAAATAAAAGGGAATATGAAAAAGGCCTGGAAACCCTCTCTGAAATCCTGGGCTCTAGAAAACTGTCGAGAAACAGAGATACAAACTTCACTAAATCAGATGAACAACACATCCAGCCTGCAGACACTGCCAACAAACTTAATGTCTTCTTCTCTGCTATAGCTTCAAAACTAGCAAGCAAAATCCCAACCTCAAACACTCAAGAAAAAGACTACCTTACTGCAAATTATCCAGATACATTTTACATTTATACTATATTGTAGTAAACAATGAAATTAAAGAAGTCAGACATGCAGTTTATACAGCAGATTTTGCCCATTATTTTAAAAGTCTGTTATATTGATGGTTTACTCTGTTATGTTTTATCAAGATATAGCTATATGAAGATGCAACTGTCTCAGTAATTCTTCTCTTAATAAGCAATTATGTATGTTTAGGAAACCTGCTGCTCATGGGCATTCTGACTGAATGAGGGTAAAGTTCTTAACTGATGTTTATCTGGTTTATTGTTTATGACTGAATCTTTAAAGATTACCAGTGAAGTTGGTAATGTTTCCATGTAGCAATCCACAGACAGCTCCATGCATTCTTTGTCCCTTTCCCTGCCCCACAGCTTTATAGGAATGGCATGATTTACCCTACTCCCAGGCCAAAATGCTAGTAAAAACTTTTAGAAAATCTTTTCAAAGGGCAACAGAAAATAAAATTGGCATCATGCAGTTACACTTACTTGAAAATTGCCATCAAGAGGTGGTCCTTCCATGGTTATGCTGTACTTAAGCCACACATTTTTGGCAGTGTTCTTAAGCACGGCCATCAGTTGGGAACCACCTTCATAATATGATGTGCGTCTGAAAGTATACAGGCAACTTGGTACAGTAGAGGGTCTAAGCCATTTTATGATATGCAATTAACTTGTGAAACTACATTAATTTTTTTGTAGTATTATACTTTGGGGCTACTGGCACTGACATTTTTACGATAATATAATGTAATATGAATATTGAATAACTAGGTAGTAGGTTGGTAGACAGCAACCACCCAGGGAAGTACTACCATCCTGCCAGATGACTGTGAAACAAAAACCTGTAACTGTTTTGCATGATGGTAGGATTGCTGGTTTCTTTTTCTGTCTCATAAACACGCTAGATAACAGGGATATCTTGCTGCTCCTACTTACACTTTGGTCACACTTCACAGACACGCACATGCATATATATATACATACATCTAGGTTTTTCTCCTTTTTCTAAATAGCTCTTGTTCTTCTTTATTTCTTCTATTGTCCATGGGGAAGTGGAAAAGAATCTTTCCTCCGTAAGCCATGCGTGTCGTATGAGGCGACTAAAATGCCGGGAGCAATGGGCTAGTAACCCCTTCTCCTGTAGACATTTACTAAAAAAGAGAAGAAGAAAAACTTTATAAAACTGGATGCTTAAATGTGCGTGGATGTAGTGCGGATGACAAGAAACAGATGATTGCTGATGTTATGAATGAAAAGAAGTTGGATGTCCTGGCCCTAAGCGAAACAAAGCTGAAGGGGGTAGAGAGTTTTCAGTGGGGGCAAATAAATGGGATTAAATCTGGAGTATCTGAGAGAGTTAGAGCAAAGGAAGGGGTAGCAGTAATGTTAAATGATCAGTTATGGAAGGAGAAAAGAGAATATGAATGTGTAAATTCAAGAATTATGTGGATTAAAGTAAAGGTTGGATGCGAGAAGTGGGTCATAATAAGCGTGTAATGCACCTGGGAGAAGAGAGAATGCAGAGGAGAGAGAGAGATTTTGGGAGATGTTAAGTGAATGTATAGGAGCCTTTGAACCAAGTGAGAGAGTAATTGTGGTAGGGGACCTGAATGCTAAAGTAGGAGAAACTTTAGAGAGGGTGTGGTAGGTAAGTTTGGGGTGCCAGGTGTAAATGATAATGGGAGCCCTTTGATTGAACTTTGTATAGAAAGGGGTTTAGTTATAGGTAATAAATATTTTAAGAAAAAGAGGATAAATAAGTATACAAGATATGATGTAGGGCGAAATGACAGTAGTTTGTTGGATTATGTATTGGTAGATAAAAGACTGTTGAGTAGACTTCAGGATGTACATGTTTATAGAGGGGCCACAGATATATCAGATCGCCTTCTAGTTGTAGCTACACTGAGAGTAAAAGGTAGATGGGATACAAGGAGAATAGAAGCATCAGGGAAGAGAGAGGTGAAGGTTTATAAATTAAAAGAGGAGGCAGTTAGGGTAAGATATAAATAGCTATTGGAGGATAGATGGGCTAATGAGAGCATAGGAAATGGGGTCGAAGAGGTATGGGGTAGGTTTAAAAATGTAGTGTTAGAGTGTTCAGCAGAAGTTTGTGGTTACAGGAAAGTGGGTGCAGGAGGAAGAGGAAGCGATTGGTGGAATGATGATGTAAAGAGAGTAGTAAGGGAGAAAAAGTTAGCATATGAGAAGTTTTTACAAAGTAGAAGTGATGCAAGGAGGGAAGAGTATATGGAGAAAAAGAGAGAGGTTAAGAGAGTGGTGAAGCAATGTAAAAAGAGAGCAAATGAGAGAGTGGGTGAGATGTTATCAACAAATTTTGTTGAAAATAAGAAAAAGTTTTGGGAGTGAGATTAACAAGTTAAGAAAGCCTAGAGAACAAATGGATTTGTCAGTTAAAAATAGGAGAGGAGAGTTATTAAATGGAGAGTTAGAGGTATTGGGAAGATGGAGGGAATATTTTGAGGAATTGTTAAATGTTGATGAAGATAGGGAAGCTGTGATTTCGTGTATAGGGCAAGGAGGAATAACATCTTGTAGGAGTGAGGAAGAGCCAGTTGTGAGTGTGGGGGAAGTTCGTGAGGCAGTAGGTAAAATGAAAGGGTAAGGCAGCTGGATTGATGGGATAAAGATAGAAATGTTAAAAGCAGGTGGGGATATAGTTTTGGAGTGGTTGGTGCAATTATTTAATAAATGTATGGAAGAGGTAAGGTACCTAGGGATTGGCAGAGAGCATGCATAGTTCCTTTGTATAAAGGCAAAGGGGATAAAAGAGAGTGCAAAAATTATAGGGGGATAAGTCTGTTGAGTATACCTGGTAAAGTGTATGGTAGAGTTATAATTGAAAGAATTAAGAGTAAGACGGAAAATAGGATAGCAGATGAACAAGGAGGCTTTAGGAAAGGTAGGGGGTTGTGTGGACCAGGTGTTTACAGTGAAACATATAAGTGAACATATTTAGATAAGGCTAAAGAGGTCTTTGTGGCATTTATGGATTTGGAAAAGCGTATGACAGGTGGATAGGGGGCAATGTGGCAGATGTTGCAAGTGTATGGTGTAGGAGGTAGGTTACATGAAAGCAGTGAAGTGTTTTTACGAGGATAGTGAGGCTCAAGTTAGAGTATGTAGGAAAGAGGGAAATTTTTTCCCAGTAAAAGTAGGCCTTAGACAAGGATGTGTGATGTCACCGTGGTTGTTTAATATATTTATAAGATGGGGTTGTAAAAGAAGTTAAATGCGAGGGTCTTGGAAGAGGCGTGGGGTTAAAGATAAAAAAATCCACACAAATTGGGGGTTTGTACAGCTGCTTTTTGCTGATGACACTGTGCTCTTGGGAGATTCTAAGAAAAGTTCAGAGTTTGGGTGGATGAATTTGGTAGGGGGTGCAAAAAAAGAAAAATTAAAGGTGAATACAGGAAAAGTAAGGTTATGGGGATAACAAAAAGATTAGGTGATGAAAGATTGAAATCGATTGGAGGAGAGGTATGGAGGTGAAGTATTCAGATATTTGGGAGGGGCTGCGCGATGGGTCTATAAAGATGGGTGAATCATAGAATTGATAGGGAAAAGAGTGATTTGGTCACTTAGAGTCTGTGGAGACAAAAAAACCTTTGTCCTTGGGGGAAAAGGGGGGGAATGTAAAAGGTAAGTTTTACCGCCTTATAGGGTTGAAGATGGGTGTGAATGTTGCAGCAGGAGAAGGTGGGGGCAGTGGAGATGTCATGTCTAGGGAAAAGTGTGGTGTGAATAAAAATCAGAGAATTTGTATTTTGGAAGTTAGGGGAGGTGGGGTTTAAAACCAAAACTGTTTCCCAGGCGAGGAAAGGGTTGTTGGGGGGTTTTCGGACATGAAAAATGGAGCGAAACAGAAAGCTTCAAGAGTGTATCAGTCTGTATGGAAGGAAGGGGGGGGTGGGGTCGGCCTGGAAAGGTTGGAGGGAGGGGAAAAGGAGTTTTTGTCGAGGGGTTGGACTTTCCACGGGCATGCGTGAGCGGTTTGATGGAGTGAAATGGAGACAAATGGTTTTTAATACTTGACGTGCTGTTTGGGGGTGAGAAAGAACATTTATGAAGGGGGTTCAGGAAACCGGCAGGCCGGACTGAGTCCTGGAGATGGGGAATACAGTGCCTGCACTCTGAAGGAGGGGGGTTAATGTTGCAGTTTAAAAACTGTTTTAAAGCACCCTTCTGGCAAAACAGGATGGCTGAAAAGATGGTGAAAGTTTTTCTTTTTTGGGCCCCCCCGCCTTGGTGGGAATCGCCCGTGTATAATAAAAAAAATAATTTTTAAAAACATAAATGTTCAAAACCCGTAAACATTGATGCCCTGGGGGTTTTCACCAGTGGGCCCGAACCAAAACGATGCTGCATTTTCTCTTTTTTTTGGGTTCGGGGAATGAACGTCCTACCATAGAGGCTGTGCTTTCGGGCACATCTAACACCAAGTAGTACCTGTTTTAAAATAAAAAAAAGCAAAAATGTGTATAACCAAATTCTTCAGAAGATGAAAATTGCATAGCTAAAAAGTATAAAACAAAATATTTTTGACAATCATCATGACTGTTGCAAAGACACAAAAAAAATAAATAAATAAATAAATATAGCAGTATGTATTTTACAGACTTACCCCAAAAAGAAGCAATTTCAGTAATTTTTTAATACAAATTTTTTATTAAAAGGGAGTTGTAATATGTGGTGGGGGAAAATAACTTTTCCTTTTTGGGGACAACATCACCCTACAAATACTTGCCCTTTTTTGTGATGCCCTTTTCAGGGAGTGAAGAATCATGTGGGACTGACAAAATCATAATCTTTTGTCCTTGACTCTTGATTTTGAATAAAATTTAGGGGTTTAGTAAACTGCAATAAACAGATGATTTCATCAATAAAATACTGTCAGCCCTCCAATTTAAAATGGAGCTCCTTCCTAAACCACGCTGGGAAACAAATTCGCGCTAAGTGAGGGGCATATATAAAAGGTAGTGGGTTTGTGTCAACCATCTTTGATATTTTTTTTAATTCACCTTTTCACCATTTTTTAACATTTCTGATATATTTTTAAAAGTTATCAAAAATGTACATACTAGTATTCAAAAAACAGAATAGAGGAAATCAGCTCTAAAATACATTATTTTGGGTTTCAACAGGTCAGGAGCCCGTCGAATTGAGTTTTTTGGGAAACAAGTACATGCTAAAATAAGGGAGGCTGTACTTTTTAAAAGTTCATGAATATTTTGATCTTTTACTAATGGATCTCATTTTTACCAAAACAAAAAAATTTAAAAATTAAAGTAAAAAATTTTTTTTTTTTATTAATTTTTTTAAATTTTTTAATTTTTGAATTTAAAAAACACGATAAGGAAAAGGTAAATGAGGGTATTAAATGATTTAGAAAAAAAAAAAATTTTGGAAAATAAACATTGGAGGGGGGGGAGTAGGGAAAAAGGGTGTATGTTTTCCCCAGAAAATTTGGGAGTTAACTTGTTGGAAAGATTTTAAAGGAGGGAATTTAAAAACTACAGAATTGATGAAAAAAAAGGGGGAAAAGGGGTGCATTGAGGTATCTATGGAGACAAAAAATTTTACCCCTTTGGGGGGCCGAAAAGGGAAAAAGTACGGGTAGTGGTCCCATCACTAAAATTTTTAATGCAAAAGAATTCATATTGGGGAAAATTTAGGAGGGGGTGTGGATTTCCCAAAAAGTTTTGTCAAAGGGCTAAAGGGGGGGGTTTTGCTGAGGCGGGTTTGGTCATTTAAAAGGAAGGAACAAAGTAGAATGACAGAAAAGGTTTAAAAATCTGTGGGGGAAGGAAGGTGGGGTGGGGGCCCGCCCCTCAAAAAGGGTTTGGGAAAGGGGGGGGAAAAAGGAGGTTTTGTGGGCAATGGGTTTGGGGACTTCCAGCAAGTTCCATGAGCATGTTAAGAGCTGAAGATAAAACATTTTTTTAGGACTGACAGCTGTTGGGTGGGGCAGGTTTAAAAATTTTTGAAGGAATTCGAAAAACGGGTTAGTCAGGCTTAAAATGTTTAAAGTGGAAGTAGAAGGGCCTGATTTTAAAGGGAAAGGGTTTTTTGGGGATTTTTACAGTTTGGAGGGAAAATCAAAAACGTTGTATCTAAGTGCCTCTCCCAAAGCCATTTGTTGTATGAGTATGGTAAAAGTTTTTGAATGAAAAATTAAATTTTTTTTTTTCTGTTTGGGCATTTGCTTCAGTGGGAAACCCCGACATTTTAAAAAAAAAAGAAAAAAAAGAGAAACATTTTGGAGAAATAAAGGCCAAGAAATTTAAAAGATGAAATTTCAGGGGTTTTTTGGGTGAATATCATGCAGAAAAATTCCGGAGCATTAAAATTAAAAAAGGCAGTGGGGGTCACCCAAAGGGAAATAAATTTCAAACCCTCAGGGGGGATTTTCAGGGGGGTCGGGGATGTGGGATAGGATGGAAAGGGCAAAGGATAACAAAGGGGGTAAACAAATGGGGTGGAAGGTAAAAGGGGACTAGGATCCCCCCCGGGAAGGGGTTTTAAGTGGGTTTTGAGTTTCCCGCAGGTTGTGTGATTTTTATTGCAGGAGTGTTTGGGGGCCCAAGGGGTTTTTTAAAGGGTTTGGGGTGTTGGAGTGGGAAAAGTATATTTCATAAAGGGAAATTTTTGGGGAAACAAGTTAAACGGGATTTAAATATTAAAAAGGCCCAGTACCTCCACTCTGAAGGAGGGGTGGGAATGTTAAAAATTTGGGGTAATTTGAATTTACTTTCAGGTCATTTTATATTGTATCTTTATATATGCCCTTTTTAAACTGTTGTAAACTAAGGGGACCCCTGCAAAAAAAAGTGATTATGTATGAGTTTTAAAATGGGAAAATGTTGAAAGACGATGAAAATATTTTTTGGGTTTTTGGGGTTTTTCTTCTTTTTGGGTTTACCCGCCCCAGGTGGGAAAACGCCTTGTTTAAAAAAAAAAAAACACTTCTGGAAAGACAGTGACTGAATTTAAAGAAGGGGAAAGTGTTTCTGTTTTTGGGGTCCCTGCCCGTTGATATTAGGGTGGTCCAGAATAAAAAATATAAACCCGACCCCAAAATAAAAGAAAAAGAAATTAAAAATTTAACTGTGAGAGGGAACTCACCCTTTTCGAGCCAAATGTGTGATCAAAATTCTTTTTAAAATGCCTGAATTGGGCAAAAAAGGCTTGCATCAAACCCAATTAGTGTTGTCCGTTTTATCTTTTTTCCAATCACTTGTCAATCCATACCCAAAAGGGGCAGCGGCACACATAAGAAACCCCCAGGAACCCTTGCAGCCTCATCAGAATAGTCAAGACAGTCATCAGAGTAGTCACATACACTACTGTTAGTAACACAGGCACCACTGCTGCACTGGTATTGCCCTAAGTCCTTACATGTCAGTCCTAGAGAGTACATGATAAATTTTGGAAGAAGCAAATAATGTAATATCCAAGAACCTATATTGCATGTGAAGTATATATAGCAATACCCTGAGCAACCAAAAACTATCACTTAACACTGAAATCTTATTTAATGGTAAGGAATTACTTTATGTACATGTTATGAATTCTTTTAATGTTTTGCAACAAATTGTCCATCACCTTTAGTATGCCTTCATCAGTTATTAATCACCGAACATTCAGTTTATTTTAACCCTTAAACTGTCCAAACGTATATATACGTTCACTCGCGTAGCGCCCCAAATTTTTTGAGGAAAAAAGAAATCTTTTCTTTTAAAAGGAAAAAAGAGCATATGGTACCCAGGCATCCCCAATTATTTTAATATGGAACACAGTGAGTGCACACACCCATTCTTTCATGTCTAGGTGACTCAGGCTTATTGTGGCAATGTTGAATGAATGACAAAGAAAACGTATATGTATATACGTTTGGGGCGCTACGCGCGTGAACGTATATATATGTTTGGACCGTTTAAGGGTTAAATATTATTAATTCACAGAACATTCAGCTTGTTTTAGATATTATTAAAAGTAATAAAACACACATTACCATTAGGGGGAAAACCTGGAGTGGCACACTCAATAAAACTGAGATCGTCAACAGCACCACCACCCTCATATCTTATGCCTCGGTGAGCCTGGAGACTAATGAACACCATACTTAGTTCACCTAGGCCAACCTCTGCCTGGAAGCAAATAAGCAAATAAGGTTGTGTGTAACAAGTTATTTCAAAATAAAACTTAAATGCAAACATTTGTAATGTTTCCGCTCCTCATAAAAAAAAAGATGCAAGCAGAAACTGCACTAAGTATTCAAATGATGAATCTCCAACATTTGTTTTCATCTTTGAACTACTGCACACCAGCACTTTCAACATTTTTCAAGGGAAATTTTATATATGCAGTTGGTTGGTTAATAGGGTTTTAACCCTTTCAGAGTTTCCGATGTATTAGTACGGCTTACGCACCAGGGTTATTGATGTACTAGAATGCCTAAAGTCTAGCACCGTCAAATCTAGTGAGAGAAAGCTGGTAGGCCTACATATGAAAGAATGGGTCTATTACCTGGAGTTTACCTGGAGAGAGTTCCGGGGGTCAACGCCCCCGCGGCCCGGTCTGTGACCAGGCCTCCTGGTGGATCAGAGCCTGATCAACCAGGCTGTTGCTGCTGGCTACACGCAAACCAACGTACGAGCCACACCCCGGCTGATCAGGAACTGACTTTAGGTGCTTGTCCAGTGCCAGCTTGAAGACTGCCAGGGGGGTCTGCTGGTAATCCCCCTTATGTGTGCTGGGAGGCAGTTGAACAGTCTCGGGCCCCTGACACTTATTGTATGGTCTCTTAACGTGCTAGTGACACCCCTGCTTTTCATTGGGGGGATGGTGCATCGTCTGCCAAGTCTTTTGCTTTCGTAGTGAGTGATTTTCGTGTGCAAGTTTGGTACTAATCCCTCTAGGATTTTCCAGGTGTATCTTTTATTTTAATTATTATCACACTGGCCGATTCCCACCAAGGCAGGGTGGCCCGAAAAAGAAAAACTTTCCCCATCATTCACTCCATCACTGTCTTGCCAGAAGGGTGCTTTACACTACAGTTTTTAAACTGCAACATTAACACCCCTCCTTCAGAGTGCAGGGACTGTACTTCCCATCTCCAGGACTCAAGTCCGGCCTGCCGGTTTCCCTGAATCCCTTCATAAATGTTACTTTGCTCACACTCCAACAGCACGTCAAGTATTAAAAACCATTTGCTCCATTCACTCCTATCAAACACGCTCACGCATGCCTGCTGGAAGTCCAAGCCCCTCGCACACAAAACCTCCTTTACCCCCTCCCTCCAACCTTTCCTAGGCCGACCCCTACCCCGCCTTCCTTCCACTACAGACTGATACACTCTTGAAGTCATTCTGTTTCGCTCCATTCTCTCTACATGTCCGAACCACCTCAACAACCCTTCCTCAGCCCTGTGGACAACAGTTTTGGTAATCCCGCACCTCCTCCTAACTTCCAAACTACGAATTCTCTGCATTATATTCACACCACACATTGCCCTCAGACATGACATCTCCACTGCCTCCAGCCTTCTCCTCGCTGCAACATTCATCACCCATGCTTCACACCCATATAAGAGCGTTGGTAAAACTATACTCTCATACATTCCCCTCTTTGCCTCCAAGGACAAAGTTCTTTGTTTCCACAGACTCCTAAGTGCACCACTCACTCTTTTTTCCCTCATCAATTCTATGATTCACCTCATCTTTCATAGACCCATCCGCTGACACGTCCACTCCCAAATATCTGAATACGTTCACCTCCTCCATACTCTCTCCCTCCAATCTGATATTCAATCTTTCATCACCTAATCTTTTTGTTATCCTCATAACCTTACTCTTTCCTGTATTCACCTTTAATTTTCTTTTTGCACACCCTACCAAATTCATTCACCAATCTCTGCAACTTCTTATCAGAATCTCCCAAGAGCAGTGTCATCAGCAAAGAGCAGCTGTGACAACTCCCACTTTGTGTGTGATTCTTTATCTTTTAACTCCACGCCTCTTGCCAAGACCCTCGCATTTACTTCTCTTACAACCCCATCTATAAATATATTAAACAACCACGGTGACATCACACATCCTTGTCTAAGGCCTACTTTTACTGGGAAAAATTTCCCTCTTTCCTACATACTCTAACTTGAGCCTCACTATCCTCGTAAAAACTCTTCACTGCTTTCAGTAACCTACCTCCTACACCATACACTTGCAACATCTGCCACATTGCCCCCCTATCCACCCTGTCATACGCCTTTTCCAAATCCATAAATGCCACAAAGACCTCTTTAGCCTTATCTAAATACTGTTCACTTATATGTTTCACTGTAAACACCTGGTCCACACACCCCCTACCTTTCCTAAAGCCTCCTTGTTCATCTGCTATCCTATTTTCCGTCTTACTCTTAATTCTTTCAATTATAACTCTACCATACACTTTACCAGGTATACTCAACAGACTTATCCCCCTATAATTTTTGCACTCTCTTTTATCCCCTTTGCCTTTATACAAAGGAACTATGCATGCTCTCTGCCAATCCCTAGGTACCTTACCCTCTTCCAGGTGTATATAATCATGTATCTCTCCCTCCTGCGTTCCAGGGAATACAGGTTTAGGAACCTCAAGCGCTCCCAGTAATTGAGGTGTTTTATCTCCGTTATGCGCGCCGTGAAAGTTCTCTGCACATTTTCTAGGTCGGCAATTTCACCTGCCTTGAAAGGTGCTGTTAGTGTGCAGCAATATTCCAGCCTAGATAGAACAAGTGACCTGAAGAGTGTCATCATGGGCTTGGCCTCCCTAGTTTGAAGGTTCTCATTATCCATCCTGTCATTTTTCTAGCAGATGCGATTGATACAATGTTATGGTCCTTGAAGGTGAGATCCTCCGACATGATCACTCCCAGGTCTTTGACGTTGGTGTTTCGCTCTATTTTGTGGCCAGAATTTGTTTTGTACTCTGATGAAGATTTAATTTCCTCATGTTTACCATATCTGAGTAATTGAAATTTCTCATCGTTGAACTTCATATTGTTTTCTGCAGCCCACTGAAAGATTTGGTTGATGTCCGCCTGAAGCTTTGCAGTGTCTGCAATGGAAGACACTGTCATGCAGATTCGGGTGTCATCTGCAAAGGAAGACACGGTGCTGTGGCTGACATCCTTGTCTATGTCGGATATGAGGATGAGGAACAAGATGGGAGCGAGTACTGTGCCTTGTGGAACAGAGCTTTTCACCGTAGCTGCCTCGGACTTTACACTGTTGACGACTACTCTCTGTGTTCTGTTAGTGAGGAAATTATAGATCCATCGGCCGACTTTTCCTGTTATTCCTTTAGCACGCATTTTGTGCGCTATTATGCCATGGTCACACTTGTCGAAGGCTTTTGCAAAGTCTGTATATATTACATCTGCACTCTTTTTGTCTTCCAGTGCATTTAGGACCTTGTCGTAGTGACCCAACAGTTGAGACAGACAGGAGCGACCTGTTCTAAACCCATGTTGCCCTGGGTTGTGTAACTGATGGGTTTCTAGATGGGTGGTGATCTTGCTTCTTAGGACCCTTTCAAAGATTTTTATGATATGGGATGTTAGTGCTATTGGTCTGTTGTTCTTTGCTGTTGCTTTACTGCCCCCTTTGTGGAGTGGGGCTATGTCTGTTGTTTTTAGTAACTGTGGGACGACCCCCGTGTCCATGCTCCCTCTCCATAGGATGGAAAAGGCTCGTGATAGGGGCTTCTTGCAGTTCTTGATGAACACAGAGTTCCATGAGTCTGGCCCTGAGGCAGAGTGCATGGGCATGTCATTTATCGCCTGTTCGAAGTCATTTGGCGTCAGGATAACATCGGATAGGCTTGTGTTAATCAAATTTTGTGGCTCTCTCATAAAAAATTCATTTTGATCTTCGACTCTCAGTCTGGTTAGCGGCTTGCTAAAAACTGAGTCATATTGGGACTTGAGTAGCTCACTCATTTCCTTGCTGTCATCTGTGTAGGACCCATCTTGTTTAAGTAGGGCCCAATACTGGACGTTGTTCTCGATTTTGATTTGGCATAGGAGAAGAAATACTTTGGGTTTCTTTCGATTTCATTTATGGCTTTTAGTTCTTCCCACGATTCCTGACTCCTAAAGGATTCTTTTAGCTTAAGTTCGATGCTTGCTATTTCTCTGACCAGTGTCTCCCTACACATTTCAGATATATTGACCTCTTTTAGCCGCTCTGTTATTCTTTTCCGTCGCCTGTAAAGGGAGCGCCTGTCTCTTTCTATTTTACATCTACTCCTCCTTTTTCTTAGAGGAATAAGCCTTGTGCATAACTCGAGTGCCACCGAGTTAATCTGTTCTAGGCATAAGTTGGGGTCTGTGTTGCTTAGTATATCTTCCCAGCTTATATCGGTTAGGACTTGGTTTACTTGGTCCCACTTATGTTTTTGTTATTGAAGTTGAATTTGGTGAATGCTCCCTCGTGACTAATCTCATTATGTCGGTCTGGGGCTCCGCGTATACAATGTCTGAACCTCAATTATGTTGTGATCTGAGTAATTGTTTTTGATATGGTGACATTTCTTATCAGATCATCATTGTTAGTGAAGATGAGGTCTAGTGTATTCTCCAGTCTAGTAGGCTCTATTATTTGCTGGTTTATATTGAATTTGTGGCAGAGATTTAAAAAGCTCGCGTGAGTTTTCATCAGAGCTGCCTCCTGGTGTTATTACTGCAACAATATTATTTGCTATATTCCTCCATTTTAGGTGCCTTAAGTTGAAATCCCCCAGGAGCAAGATGTTGGGTGCAGGAGCTGGAAGATTTTCCAGACAGTGGTCAATTTTTAACAACTGTTCCTGGAATTGCTGGGATGTTGCATCCGGAGGCTTGTAGACTACCACAATGACTAGGTTTTGGTTCTCGACCTTTACTGCTAAAACTTCCACTATATCATTTGAGGCATTTAGCATTTTCTGTGCAAACAAGTGACTCTGCAATGTACAGGCCAACCCCCCCCTTTTCCCTGTTCACTCTGTCACATCTGTATAGGTTGTAACCTGGGATCCATATTTCGTTGTCCAAGTGATCCTTTATGTGGGTCTCAGTGAAAGCCGCGAACATTGCCTTTGCCTCTGCAAGCAGTCCACGGATGAAAGGTATTTTGTTGTTTGTTGCTGGCTTTAGACCCTGTATATTTGCAAAGAAGAATGTTATCGGACTGGTGGTATTGTTGGTACTGGGGGGGTATTTTTTTTCCGGCATTAGTATCTGTATCTGTTGGTTTGGAGTGGAGGCCATCAACTGTGGTTCCACTCCAGGAATGACTGGATTTGGTGTACGATTTCTGCCATTTCCTGCCAGTTTTTTTTCCTTCCTGGCACTAAAAAACCTCTCCCTCTTGAGTGGCTGTGGCTACCCAGGTTTTCCCATGGCCTGGATGTTTTGTATCTTTTTGTCCCCTTTAGATGGTATGCCTGTCAATTTAGGTTATAGCATAGTCTTTCCTGTACTGAAGAGGTACACAGTTCAGGGTGAAAAAGCTTACAGGAAGGGAGTTTGCATTTTCCTGTTGTTCCTGTGGTCAGTGTGAACAGTATAAAAAAAATCCTGCAGCACACAGTGCATAATGAGAATAAAAAAACTCTGACCGTGTTTTTGGTTTAAAACAGCGACTTTGCAGTGTATTTTCATATGGTATTTATGGTTGTATTTTAGTTTTCCTGGTCTCATTTTATAGAATGGAAGACATATTACAGAAATTGAGATGATTTTGATTGGTTTCATAATGAAAAGTACCTTGAAATTGAGCTCAATGTAGCAGAAATGTTCGATTTTTACCAAATTTCAAAAGTAAACAAATCATGCCAAGTGTCCAATACACGTCAACTGGTGAGTCTAATATTCTTTCACAAGTGCACTGATGTTATTTATACCATTTCTACACTAATGCAGTAGTCTGCATAACAGTAAATCTTCTATTTTTTGTGAGAATAAAAATTCAAAGTGAAAAGCAAAAGAGATGTAAGAGGGGCCTGGGGACGTGACTAATGAACAGAGGAAATGTTATTTTAGTGCCAGGAATATCTGTCTTGCTTATTCTGGACCCTAATTGGAAATTGGCATCTTCGGAAATTTGTGTGAAATTGGCAAAATTGCCAATTTCTGACCAATTTATTGGATACTTGAAATTGGCAAATGGGTGGTTTCTTGTACTCATTCGATAGAAAAAATGGAGTTCTAGCAAAACAGATATGATTTTTGTCAACTAGTGCACTGAAATTGGCTGTAAATAGGGCTCAAAGTGGGCGAAATTGCCGATGTGTACACATCGTTGAGACCGCTAACTTTGCGAGAGCATAATTCCATAAGTTTTCCATCAATTTCATACTTTTGGTGTCATTATGATCGGGAAAAGATTCTCTATCATTTCATAAGAAAAAATAATTTTGTTTTCACAAAAATTTTTGACCCTGAGAACGAGTTTATCAGAAGGCCTCTCAACCCCGAAAGGGTTAAAGTCTATCACCCACACTAGGGTCATTAAGGCTGCACATATCTTTGTTACCACCAGACAAGAATACTTTAATCTCTAAATTAGGAATACATACCCTGAGAGAAATACATTACACTGTCATTGTACATGTTGGAGAGATGGATGGCCACAGCTTTGTCTGGATGGTATTTTTCAGCACACTCAAACTTCACATTATTTAGCACACATTTCCTTGATAAGTGTAATAGGCACATCATCCTGTCCCCTCCTCTTCTGATGATGATAGCTCCTCTGCTGCAATCTGTTGCTGCTCCTTCTGAAGCAGCAACAATTCTTCTGTGGTTAGGTCAGTTCTATGCTTCTCCACCAACTCATCCACATCATCTTCAGTCACCTCTAGGCCCAAGGTCTTTCCAATGGGCACAATATTCTCTACTGGCTCAAGTTCATCTTAAAACCTTCAAAATCCTTGGCTGCCACAAAGGCCACAATTTCTTCCATGCTGACTGCATGGTCCTGGAAGACACATTCCCCAAGGCTTTGTCTATAAGCTCAAGCAGGTGAGGATATTGAAATGGTCCTTCCAGAACTCCCTGGGGGTTAAATTTGTTTCTGAAGGGATTTCAAAGCACCTTTCAAAAAGTGCTTTGGTGAAAAGTTTCTTTAAGTTAGAAATGACCTGCTGGTCTATGGCCTGGATAAGAGGAGTGGTGTTAGGAGGCAAGAACTTAACAGTTATAAAACTGAACTCATCCAGCAACTTGTTTTCCAAGCTTGGAGCAACGAGCAACTCTGTGACACACAGGCCAACCCCCCCCCCCCTTTTTTTTTTTTTGCCTATTTGCTCTGTCACATCTGTATAGGTTATAACCTGGGATCTATATTTTGTTGTCAAAGTGATCCTTCATGTGGGCCTCTGTGAAAGTTGCAAACACTGCATTTGATTTTGTGAGCAGTCCATTGATGAAAGGTATTTTGTTGTTTGTTGCTGGCTTTAAACCCTGTAAATTTGTAAAAATAAATGTTGTCATATTGATGGTTTGTGGGGGGCAGGGCTTTGTCTACTGGCACTAATATCTATTGTTCTGGAGTGGAGGCCACTGATTATGCCCCCACTCCAGTGGCACTAATATCTATTGTTCTGGAGTGGAGGCCACTGATTATGCCCCCACTCCAGAAGTGATTTGAGTTTGTGTATGATTTCTGTTATTTCTTGCCAGCTTTTTTTCTTTTCTGGAACTAAAATCATCCATCTCTGGAGTAGCTGTGGCTACCCTGGTCTGTTTCTCATAGTCTGAGTGATCTGTATCTTTTTTGTCCCCCTTTAGGTGGTGTGCCTGACAATATATGTTGTAACAATGTCTTTCCTAGACTGAAGAGTGACACATTTCAGGGTGAAAAAAATACAGGAAGGAGAGTTACATTCTCCTGTTGTCATGTGGGTGCGGCATTTTCTGGGATGGTCAAAACTGCACGTCTCGCCAGTTTAGAGACGAGTGGTTTTTGGGACCTGACAAGGTGTTGGAGTGTAAGCAAGGTAATATTTTGTGAAGAGATTAAGGAAAACCAGTAGCTAGCCTGAGTCCTGGAGGTGGGAAGTACAATGCCTGCACTTTGAAGGAGGGATTTGGGATATTGGCTGTTTGGAGTGACATCTAAACTGTCATATCTGAGCACCTCTGCAAAGACAGTGATTGCTTGTGAATGATGGTGAAAGTGTTGAATGATGGTGAAAGTGTTTCTTTTTTGGGTCACCCTGCTTCGGTGGGAGAAGGCCGCCATGTTGAAAATAAAAATAACACAACTTAACGCTTTAATATATTTTGAAATACATAGCTTATTTTAAACAGCTCACAACATTATACTCAATACATAATCAAATGGTTTTTTGACAACACTACTCAATTCATCAGTCAGCCTTTGGACAAAGTCATGTCCTTGATTTTCTTATTTTCATAATCTACAATTTCCCTGTGATCAGGCCACCAAATATTAGTATTGTATTGTTTAGTAAGGGGCAACAATTCTTTTATCTATTATACTTTTTCAAACTCAAGAAACATGTTTTTTCTTCAAGAGTAAGGAGAAGTTATAGGGACAGCAGGAATACATGTACACAGTACCTATATGATACTGACCCTTTATCCAAGCAGGGCTTGTTTTTTTTTGGGTTGTACAATAATTCACATGTGGAAGAAAATGCTGTATCATACTGTACTGGTACAAACCATATTTAAGTAAATTTTGATTGCAGGTGTGGTTACTGAATTTCACTTAACCATGATGTGAATAATAAAAAGGAAGCATTTCAACAAGAACACAGCCTTACCAGTTGCCACTGATTGCCAAGATTGCCATCCACCATCCAGGCTTCATAAGTATTTCCTACAGATGGCTTGACTAACACATGGAGTGACCCCGACTCTGGACCCGACCACCAGTACCAGAAACTAAAACGGCAGGTTTTGGCAGTTTCCCCTAATAGTGCAAATAAAGCATATACAATAGTTTTTATTATATACATGTAAGTATATATGTAACAAAGAAACAACTATTTCTATAAAGTGGATTACTGTACAGTATACAATTAAGGTAATTGACATGTATAAACTACTTTATAGAAAGCCCCTTGTTTTGAGAGGCATTTTGGGCAGCCTTACAACTACCATAAAATTACAAGGCAATGAGATACATAGTGCATGAGAAAAAGAATTTGTACAAATATACAAGATATGATGTAACACGTAATGAAAGTAGTTTGTCAGATTATGAATTGGTGGATAAAAGGTTGATGGGTAGGCTGCAGGATGTACATGTTTATAGAGGGGTAACAGGTATATCGGATCATTATCTAGTTGTAACTACAGTTAGAGCAAGAGATAGATGGGACAAAAAGAAAATGACAACAGTAAGTAAGAAAGAGGTGAAAGTTTATAAACTAAGGGAGGAGGAAGTTAGGGTGAGATATAAGCAACTATTGGCAGAAAGGTGGGATAGTGCAAGTATGGGTAGTGAGGGGGAATGAAGAGGGATGGGATAGTTTAAAAAAAATGCACTATAAGAATGTGGGGAAGTTTGTGGCTATAGGAGGGTGGATGCAGGAGGAAAGAGGAGTGATTGGTGGAATGATGAAGTAAAGGGTGCAATAAAAGAGAAAAAGGTAGCTTATGAGAGGTTTTTACAAAGTAGAAGTGATATAAGAAGAGCAGAGTATATGGAGAGTAAAAGAGAGGTGAAGACAGTGATGAGAGTGCAAAAGGAGAGCATAGGATAGAGTGGGAGAGGCACTGTCAAGAAATTTAGCTGAGAATAAGAAAAAATTTTGAAGTGAGATAAATAAGTTAAGAAAGCCTAGGGAACGAATGGATTTATCATTTATAAACAAAACAGGGCAGTTAGTAGATGGGGAGCTGGAGGTATTGGGTAGATGGGGTGAATATTTTGAAGAACTTTTAAATGTAGACGAAGAAAGGGAGGTAGTAATTTCATGCACTGGCCAGGGAGGTATAACATCTTCTAGGAGTGAAGAAGAGTGGGATGTGAGTGTGGAGGAGCATGAGACATAATATAGAATGAGAAGGGGTAAAGCAGCTGGAACTGATGGGATCATGACAGAAATGGTAAAAGCAAGGGGAAATATAGTGTTGGAGTTGTTGGTATTTTTGTTTAATAAAAGTATGAAAGAGGGAAAGGTACCTAGGGATTGGCAGAGAGCATGTATAATTCCTTTATATAAAGGGAAGGGGGACAAAAGAGATTGTAATTTTTTTTTTTCAACAAACCGGCCCTATTACCTGGAGTTTACCTGGAGAGAGTTCCGGGGGTTAATGCCCCCGCGGCCCGGTCTGTGACCAGGCCTCCTGATGGATCAGAGCCTGATCAACCAGGCTGTTACTGCTGGCTGCACGCAAACCAACGTACGAGCCACAGCCCGGCTGATCAGGAACCGACTTTAGGTGCTTGTCCAGTGCCAGCTTGAAGACTGCCAGGGGTCTGTTGGTAATCCCCCTTATGTATGCTGGGAGGCAGTTGAACAGTCTCGGGCCCCTGACACTTATTGTATGGTCTCTTAACGTGCTAGTGACACCCCTGCTTTTCATTGGGGGATGTTGCATCGTCTGCCAAGTCTTTTGCTTTCGTAGTGAGGGGATTTTTCGTGTGCAAGTTCGGTACTAGTCCCTCTAGGATTTTCCAGGTGTATATAATCATGTATCTCTTCCGCCTGCATTCCAGGGAATACAGGTTCAGGAACCTCAAGCGCTCCCAGTAATTGAGGTGTTTTATCTCCGTTATGCGCGCCGTGAAGGTTCTCTGTACATTTTCTAGGTCAGCAATTTCACCTGCCTTGAAAGGGTTGCTGTTAGTGTGCAGCAATATTCCAGCCTAGATAGAACAAGTGACCTGAATAGTGTCATCATGGGCTTGGCATCCGTCGTTTTGAAGGTTCTCATTATCCATCCTGTCATTTTTCTAGCAGATGCGATCGATACAATGTTATGGTCCTTGAAGGCGAGGTCCTCCGACATGATCACTCCCAGGTCTTTGACGTTGGTGTTTCACTCTATTTTGTGGCCAGAATTTGTTTTGTACTCTGATGAAGATTTAATTTCCTCGTGTTTACCATATCTGAGTAATTGAAATTTCTCATCGTTGAATTTCATATTGTTTTCTGCAGCCCACTGAAACATTCGGTTGAAGTCCGCCTGGAGCCTTGCAGTGTCTGCAATGGAAGACACTGTCATGCAGATTCGGGTGTCATCTGCAAAGGAAGACACGGTGCTGTGGCTGACATCCTTGTCTATGTCGGGTATGAGGATGAGGAACAAGATGGGAGCGAGTACTGTGCCTTGTGGAACAGAGCTTTTCACCGTAGCTGCCTCGGACTTTACTCTGTTGACGACTACTCTCTGTGTTCTGTTAGTGAGGAAATTATAGATCCATCGACTGACTTTTCCTGTTATTCCTTTAGCACGCATTTTGTGCGCTATTACGCCATGGTCACCTTTCAAGGCAGGTGAAATTGCTGACCTAGAAAATGTACAGAGAACCTTCACAGCGCGCATAACAGAGATAAAACACCTCAATTACTGGGAGCGCTTGAGGTTCCTGAACCTGTATTCCCTGGAACGCAGGCGGGAGAGATACATGATTATATACGCATGGAAAATCCTAGAGGGACTAGTACCGAACTTGCACACGAAAATCACTCACTACGAAAGCAAAAGACTTGGCAGATGATGCAACATCCCCCCAATGAAAAGCAGGGGTGTCACTAGGACGTTAAGAGACCATACAATAAGTGTCAGGGGCCCGAGACTGTTCAACTGCCTCCCAGCATACATAAGGGGGATTACCAACAGACCCCTGGCAGTCTTCAAGCTGGCACTGGACAAGCACCTAAAGTCGGTTCCTGACCAGCCGGGCTGTGGCTCATACGTTGGTTTGCGTGCAGCCAGCAGCAACAGCCTGGTTGATCAGGCTCTGATCCACCAGGAGGCCTGGTCACAGACCGGGCCGCGGGGGCGTTGACCCCCGGAACTCTCTCCAGGTAAACTCCAGGTCACACTTGTCGAAGGCTTTTGTAAAGTCTGTATATATTACATCTGCATTCTTTTTATCTTCTAGTGCATTTAGGACCTTGTCGTAGTGATCCAATAGTTGAGACAGACAGGAGCGACCTGTTCTAAACCCATGTTGCCCTGGGTTGTGTAACTGATGGGTTTCTAGATGGGTGGTGATCTTGCTTCTTAGGACCCTTTCAAAGATTTTTATGATATGGGATGTTAGTGCTATCGGTCTGTAGTTCTTTGCTGTTGCTTTACTGCCCCCTTTGTGGAGTGGGGCTATGTCTGTTTTTTTAGTAACTGTGGGACGACCCCCGTGTCCATGCTCCCTCTCCATAGGATGGAAAAGGCTCGTGATAGGGGCTTCTTGCAGTTCTTGATGAACACGGAGTTCCATGAGTCTGGCCCTGGGGCAGAGTGCATGGGCATGTCAGTTATCGCCTGTTCGAAGTCATTTGGCATCAGGATAACATCAGATAGGCTTGTGTTAACCAAATTTTGTGGCTCTCTCAAAAAAATTCATTTTGATCTTCGACTCTCAGTCTGGTTAGCGGCTTGCTAAAAACTGAGTCATATTGGGACTTGAGTATTTCACTCATTTCCTTGCTGTCATCTGTGTAGGACCCATCTTGTTTAAGTAGGGGCCCAATACTGGACGTTGTTCTCGACTTTGATTTGGCATAGGAGAAGAAATACTTTGGTTTCTTTCGATTTCATTTATGGCTTTTAGTTCTTTCCCGCGATTCCTGACTCCTATAGATTTCTTTAGCTTGAGTTCGATGCTTGCTATTTCTCTGACCAGTGTCTCCCTACGCATTTCAGATATATTGACCTCTTTTAGCCACTCTGTTATTCTTTTCCATCGCCTGTAAAGGGAGCACCTGTCTCTTTCTATTTTACATCTACTCCTCCTTTTTCTTAGAGGAATAAGCCTTGTGCATACATTGAGTGCCACCAAGTTAATCTGTTCTAGGCATAAGTTGGGGTCTGTGTTGCTTAGTATATCTTCCCCGCTTATATCGGTTAGGACTTGGTTTACTTGGTCCCACTTTATGTTTTTGTTATTGAAGTTGAATTTGGTGAATGCTCCCTCGTGACTAGTCTCATTATGTCGGTCTGGGGCTCCACGCATACATGTCTGAACCTCAATTATGTTGTGATCTGAGTATATTGTTTTTGATATGGTGACATTTCTTATCAGATCATCATTGTTAGTGAAGATGAGATCTAGTGTATTTTCCAGTCTAGTAGGGTCTATTATTTGCTGGTTTTTAAAAATTTAAATTTTTTGCAGAGATTTTAAAAACCGTGTGAGTTAGTTTTCTCAAGCTGCCTCCTGGTGTTATATGCAACAATTTTATTTGCTATACCTCCATTTTTTTAACAGTGCTTTTTGGGGGAGTCTAAAGAAAAGTTGCAAAGGTTAGTGGACAAGTTTTGGGGAGGGTGTGTAAAGGTAAAAAGTTGCAAATGAATACAGATAAGAGTAAGGTGATGAGGGTATCCAATGATTTAGATAAAGAAAAATTGAATATCACATTGGAGTGATCGAGTATGGAAGTTAGTTTAATATCTTTATTATGCACCCTATATCCATCCTGTGGGCAGTAGTCAAAAGATTACAGAGGTACATAATGGGTCCAGGGACTGAACCCCAAGTTTCAATAGCTGAACTAGTTACAAAAGTAATGAATTCCATGCAGATCTGGTCACAATCATGAACAAGTTACAAAGGTAATGAACAATCTACACTCCTATACATGGTTTTAATCATGAACAAATTACAAAGTAATGAGCCACATGGAAGAAGTGAATGGTTTCAGATATTTGGGAGCTGACTTGTCAGCAGATGGGTTTATGAAGGATGAGGTAAACCATAGAACTGATGAAGGAAAAAAGGTGAGTGGTGCATTG